GAGAGAGAGAGAGAGAGAGAGAGAGAGAGAGAGAGAGAGAGAGAGGGAGAGAAAGAGGGAGAGAGAGAGCGCACGAGAGAGAGAAAGAAAGAGAGCAGAGTTACATTCTTCCTATTATAATTTCGATTTGTTTAAATCGCCTAACTTATCAACTTTAAACTTAAAATAAATCGATTAGAAAATATAAGATTTAGATATTAGATTTTTTCACCGCAGGTGCCGCTTACCTGATGACGTTAGCGCTAGAATTCCGTGCGCTGAGAAGTTCCACACGCCCATGTTCGGACTCATCGCGTTCACCGACGGAAACTTCGGCTGCTCGTGTCCCCTGAACATCGGACCCGCATGCAGCGTCGCGCCCGGCGGAGCCGGAAACGACGTCATCGCGTGCGCCACCGACGTCGGCAGCATCTTGGCGAAGCCGTCGACGGGTCGTTGAAAGCACGTGACCGGCGGCTGAGGAACGTCGCCCGCGTAGAATCTCGCTTGAGCGTTGCCGTACGGCGAAACGCGCACGTCGGTAGAGGGCAGCACGCTCGCTCGGTCGTCGTAGCCGAGGAGTTTGTAGTAGAGGTCCCAGCGCAGCAGGTCGCACATTGGGTTGGCGACGGGCTGCGACGACAGACCGTGCGGCTGCGTGTGCAACAGGCTCGCGATCATGAAGTCCTTGTGTCGCTTATCGGCGCCGACGGGCTGAAACGCTGACGATGGCGCCGCCATGTTGTCCTTGGGTGTCCTTGACGCGGCGGTGGCGCGTTGATCGCTCCACAGCGATGTTGGCGCGTAGGGAGGGAGGTGCTGCGGCGGTACGGTGGGAGGGGGAGGGTGAGGAGGAGGGGTGAGGGCGGCTGGTCGGGTCGGCAGCTTGCTAGCAGCGCTAACAGCGCCACTCATCATGACGTCGGCTGCAAGAGACGACAGACGACGTTTACCTTGACATTACTGTTGATGATACGAGCTATCTATCTATTTATCTATTATTTATCTATCTATCTATCTATCTATCTATTTATCTATATATCTATCCATCTGTCTATCTATCTATCTATTTATTTATTTATTTATTTATTTAGTTATTTAGTTATCTATCTATCTATCTATCTTTCTTTCTTTCTCTATTTATCTAATTATTTATTTATCTATCTATCTATATCTATCTATCTATCTATCTATCTATCTATCTATCTATCTAT